GTCGCTCCAGTGAGGAGAGGGAGGAGACGCAGAAAGGGGGGGGGGGTGGAAGTCGGCGCTCCTCGAAGTCCCCGTCCTCATTAGCGATTCAGGACCCGGTGTCGTCCTCCGCGCGGTGCTAGGCCTCGAGGTGATGTCCCTACTTAGAGGAGGCTGAAGTGGCGCTGGGAGAGGGTAATGGCACCGAGATTAAGGTAGGACAATCCGCCCGTGTGCTGGCTTCCCCTCCCGGCCCTGCATCTCTCCTTTTCTCTCCTCCTTCCCTCTTTCATTTCCCCTTTCCTTTGCCTCCTTCCTTTCCACCTTCCCTTTCTTCCTTTCATCATTCATTTCCTTCCCCCTTTCTCATGATCCTTTCACCTTTCCTTTCCTTTCCTCCTCTCCGTCTCTCTCCTTTATCTGCTTTCCATTTTCCTTTTTTCTTCTTCTCCTTCTCCTCCTCCTTCTTCTTCTTCTTTTCATTTTCCTTTTTCTTCTTCTTCTTCTTCTTCTTCTTCTTCTTCTTCTTCTTCTTCTTCTTCTTCTTCTTCTTCTTCTTCTTCTTCTTCTTCTTCTTCTTCTTCTCCTCTCCTCCTCCTCCTCCTCCTCCTCCTCCTCCTCCTCCTCCTCCTCCTTCTCCTTCTCCTTCTCCTTCTCTTTTGCAATCTCCTTTTCCTTGACCCCCTACCTTTCTCCCTTCGCCTTTCCATTTCCCCTCCCACTCCCCCTCTTTCCCCTTCCCCTTCCCCTGTCCCATTAGGGGCCCTCACATGACTCCTGGCGCAAGGATCCCAATACGCCGAGAATACGCAATGCGATCATCTCCCCCCTCCCCTCCCCCTCCCTCGATAGCACGAGCTCCCGGGAACAGTTGCACGGCCATATTGCACGCCGTCGAAGGGCGCCCCGATAGGACGGGTATTTCTGACGCAGGATTAAGATTGGCCATTTGTCCCTCGACCGGAATGGGAATGGGCTGAGCGGGCTCTTGTCCCTCATGGGAATGGGAATGGGCTGATAGGGCTCCTGTCCCTCGACCGGAATGGGAATGGGCTGAGCGGGGCTCTTGTCCCTCATGGGAATGGGAATGGGCTGAGAGGGCTCTGTCCCTCGACCGGAATGGGAATGGGCTGAGCGGCTCCTGTCCTCGACCGGAATGGAATGGGCTGAGCGGGCTCCTGTCCCTCGACCGGAATTGGAATGGGCTGAGCGGGCTCCTGTCCCTCGACCGGAATGGGAATGAGCTGAGCGGGCTCCTGTCCTCGACCGGAATGGGAATGGGCTGAGGGCTCCTGCCTAAGAATGGGAATGGGCTGCGGGCTCTGTCCTCGACCGGAATGGGAATGGGCTGAGCGGGCTCCTGTCCCTCGACCGGAATGGGAATGGGCTGAGCGGGCTCCTGTCCCTCGGAATGGGAATGGGAGCGGGCTCCTGTCCTCGACCGGAATGGGAATCTGATCCTGTCCCTCGACCGGAAGGGAATGGGCTGAGCGGGCTCTTCCCTCCGGGGAATGGGAATGGCTGAGCGGGCTCCTGTCCCTCGACCGGAATGGGAATGGGCTGAGCGCGCTCCGCATGTCTCGCCGGGCCAAGGCTCGAAAAGCGCATAGTCATCACGAGGGTGTTTGTGTAGAGTCACGGTTGCTACGAGAAAAACAACAACTCTATTTTTCTGTTTCGGAAGGTTTTCGAAGCCGTTGTCTTCCTGTTCCGGCGTCGGGGAGTCCGTGGCGCTCACTCGGGAACTAGGAATGACTTGCTCTCAAATATTAATCTTGCAACGGAAAGAAATAGATATATCGAGGGAGGGAGTGCCGAGTCCCGGAAATGCAGCACGTGGAGAAGGCAGCAGCTCGTCTTACTCTAATCATTGGAATTCAGCTGCGGTTGAAGGGTGGAGGAATGGTGGGGGAGGGGGGGGGAGGAATGGCTTCTGCCGCAGGCATCTGTCCTGAGCGGGGAATGGAATGGGATGGGAGGCTCCTGTCCCTGGGAATGGCTCGGGCTCTTGTCCCTCGACCGGAATGGGAATGGGTCGAGCGGGCTCCTGTCCCTCATGGAATGGGCTGAGCGGGCTCCTGTCCCTCATGGGAATGGAATGGGCTGAGCGGGCTCTTGTCCCTCGACCGGAATGGGAATGGGCCGAGGGCTCTGTCCCTCGACCGGAATGGGAATGGGCTGAGCGGGCTCCTGTCCCTCGACCGGAATGGGAATGGGCTGAGCGGGCTCCTGTCCCTCGACCGGAATGGGAATGGTTTGAAGCGGGCTCTTGTCCCTTATGGAATGGGAATGGGCTGAGAGGGCTCCTGTCCCTCGAGCGTAATGGGAATGGGCTGAGCGGGCTCCTGTCCCTCAATGGGAATGGGCCGATGGGAATGGGGGGAATGGGAAGCGGGCTCCTGTCCTCGACCGGAATGGGAATGGGCTGTGCGGGCTCCTGTCCCTCATGGAATGGAATGGGCTGAGAGGGCTCCTGTCCCTCGAGCGAATGGGATGGGCTGAGAGGGCTCCTGTCCCTCATGGGAATGGGAATGGGCTGAGCGGGCTCTGTCCCTCGACCGGGAATGGAATGGGCCGAGCGGGCTCCTGTCCTCGACCGGAATGGGAATGGGCTGTGCGGGCTCCTGTCCCTCATGGGAATGGAATGGGCTGAGGGGCTCCTGTCCCTCGAGCGTAATGGGGAATGGGCTGAGAGGGCTCCTGTTCCCTCATGGGAATGGGAATGGGCTGAGCGGGCTCCCTGTCCCTCGAGAATGGGATGGGCGAGCGGGCTCCTGTCCCTCGAGCGTAATGGGAATGGGCTGAGCGGGCTCTTGTCCCTTATGGAATGGGAATGAGAGGGCTCCTGTCCCTCGAGCGTAATGGGAATGGGCTGAGCGGGCTCTTGTCCCTATGGGAATGGGAATGGGCTGAGGGCTCCTGTCCCTCGGCGTAATGGAATGGGCTGAGAGGGCTCCTGTCCCTCTTGAGTCCCTCGGGAATGGGAAAGCGGGCTCCTGTCCCTCGAGCGAATGGGAATGGCTGAGCGGGCTCCTGTCCCTCGACCTGAGCGGGCTCTTGTCCCTTATGGGAATGGGAATGGGCTGAGCGGGCTCCTGTCCCTCGACCGGAATGGGAATGGGCTGAGCGCGCTCCGCATGTCATCGCCGGGCCAAGGTCCTCGAAAAGCGCATAGTCATCACGAGGGTGTTTGTGTAGAGTCACGGTTGCTACGAGAAAAACAACAACTCTATTTTTCTGTTTCGGAAGGTTTTCGAAGCCGTTGTCTTCCTGTTCCGGCGTCGGGGAGTCCGTGGCGCTCACTCGGGGAACTAGGAATGACAATTGCTCTCAAATATTAATCTTGCAACGGAAAAAAATAGATATATCGAGGGAGGGAGTGCCGAGTCCCGGAAATGCAGCACGTGGAGAAGGCAGCAGCGTCGTCTTACTCTAATCATTGAGTTAATTTAGCTGCGGTTGAAGGGTGGGGGAGGGGTGGGGAGGAGGGGAGGAATGGTGGGGAGGGGGGAGGATGGCAGAGGTCACGCCGCAACCTCAGCATTGCCGCAAAGTACGTTCACCTGGTTAAGTATTTTCGGATTTTCTTTCCGGAAGCATTTTGACACACAAAGTAAAACCGTAACGCAGATCAAGTAAATAGACCCAGAACTAGCACACTGAATACATAACTACGAAATATTGGTATATAAGGCAACCATGACGGCTCATTATATAATCTCCAAACATTTTGACAGAAATAAAAACCGTAAACCAAACTAAACCAACAAAAACAAAATAGACACAGACCTATCTCACTGCATAAACACAAACGAGAAAACATAACGCCATCTGACGCCTCATTATACTCTCTCTCTCTACACACACACACACACACACACACACACACACACACACACACACACACACACACACACACACACACACACACACACACACACACACACACACACACACACACACACACACACTCACACTCACACTCCCACTCACACTCACACTCACACTCACACAAGAGGGGATCGAGTCGTCCCGATAGCGTGATGAGAGAAGATCGGTCGTGGGGACCGGCGTCGTGTCATCATGGCCCGAGGTGGCCGCCGTAACTGTTTATGCGTTTTGCCGGGTAATTCTCTGCTATGTTGGGGTTGCTATGTTGGGGCCTCGGCGATCAGGTGGGAGGGCCCCGAGCTATGAGGGGAGGGTGGTGGGGGGGGGTTAGCGGCGTTGTGGTGTTAGAAAGCATTATTTATATATTTATATATTTGACTGATTTATGAATATGTTATCGATGTTCTCAAAAAGGCTGAAAAGGTAATTTTTGTTTGATGTTCGTCGAGTGATGTATGTATGTATTTCTGGTCGTCTACGTGTCGAGGTCATGCATACGTGTATTTATATAAACAGGGTAATTTCCCCCTTCCTTATTTGTGAGACGAAGGCCGAAAGAAGCTTCTCGAAGAGGGTCTCTGCTACGGGGACCAAAGATGGCGGGACCGGGAGGGAGGGAGGGAGGTGGGAGGGGATGCGAGAGGAAGGGAGAGGGAGAGAGTGATGTAGGGAGAAGGAGAGAAAGAGGGAGAGAAGGCGGAGGTAGGGGAGAGGGAGAGAAGGACGGGAAGGGGGGAGAGGGAGAGAAGGACGGGGGAAGGGGGGAGAGGGAGAGAGGGGCGGAAAGAGGGAGGTAGAGAGAGAAAATGACGAAGGAAGTTTGAGAAGGACGGAAGGAGGGAGGGAGAAGGAGAGAAGGACAAAAGGAGGGAGGTAGAAGGAGAGAAGGGCGGAAGGATGAAGGGAAAAGGAGAGAGGGAGAGAAGGACGGAAGGAGGGAGAGAGAGAGAGAGAGCAAAGGGAATGTAAATCCCTTAGGCCGTCATCGGGAGGAGAGATCGGGCGATACAGAATCATAGCAACATCTTACGCATTTAAAGGGTTACGCGCGGTGTGTAAAATGGATAAAGAAGGGGAGAAGAGTAGGGAAGGAAAGAGCAAAAGAGAAAAGGGGGAAAAAGAGTAGGGAGGGGAAGAGCAAAGGAGAAAAGGGGAAAAAAGTAGGGGAAGGGAAGGGTAGGAGAGAAGTAGGGGAAATTGCAGGGGAATGAGAAGGAAATGGAGAAAGATGGAAGGATAACAAGGAGAATGCGGGAGTGGCGCTCGGATCGGGTGTTAGGTGTTTAAATCCTCATTATGATTAGCTTTAACGAAGCGCTAATGACGTTAATCACGCGCGGGGCGAGGGAGGGAACGCACCTGCGCGCGCGGGACAAGACCGAACACACACGCACACGCACACACAGACCAAGAGAAACAGACGGACAGGCAGACAGACAGACAGAGACATAGATAGGCAGACAGACTGAGACCGAGACAGACAGACGGAGACCGAAACATCATACATACATACATACAGACAGACAGACAACAGGAGGACGGAGACCCGAGACAGACAGATAGGCAGACAGACCAAAATTGACCGAGGCAGACAGACTAAACAGCCTAATAACTAATAGACTAACAGAGAGAGAGAGAGAAAGAAAGGGAAAGAGAAAAAGAAAGAGAAAAGGAGATCGAAAGAGAGAGAGAGAGAGAGAGAGAAGAGAGAGAAGAGAGAGAGAGAGAGAGAGAGAGAGAGAGAAGAGACAGACAGACAGACAGACAGACAACAGACAGACAGACAGACAGACAGACAGACAGACAGACAGACAGACAGACAGACAGACAGACAGACAGACAGACAGAGACAGAGAGACAGAGACGCGGCTTTGCGATGCAGAAGCGAGTGGGGAGGGGGAGGGGGGGAGCCAAGCGTAATGACTTGACTGCGAGGGAAATGACTTCAAGAATACCGGAAGTGACCGTTCCGCCCTTGGATATAGTTTGCTCTCTCGCGCGTGTCCGAGTTGCGGGTAGGCCTTTTAAGAGGAGGAGGGAGAAGGATGGGGAGGAGTGGAAGGGAGATGAAGACGAGAAAAGAAGATTTATGATAAAGATGAGGAAAGGTAAGATAGGACGGGGTGAGGAAAGGGAGAGGCGAAAGTATTTCTCTTCTCCCCCTTCCCTCTCCCCTTCTTCCATGCCCCCACCCATTCCTTTCCCTTTCCATCCCCTTCGCCCTTCCCCCTCTTCGATGCCCCCACCCCTCCCCACCCACCCCTTTCCTCCTCTTCTCTGTCCCCCCCCTTCCCCATCCTCCATGCCTCACCTCCCCTCCCCCTCCTCCATCCTCCACCCACTCTCCCTCTTCCATGCCTCCACCTCCCCTCCCCTTCCATACCTCACCATCCCCTTCCCCCCCCTCCCCATACCTCCACCATCCCCCTTCCCCCCCCTCCCCATGCCTCCACCCCCTTCCCCCTCCTCCATGCCTCCACCCACCCCTTTCCCTCCTCTTCCCGCCCCCTCATGCCGGCTGCCCTGCGTGGGGTGGGGTGGGGGTGGGGGAGGGGGCCACCCGTGATGCCATGACGGTAATGCGCAGGATCGTATTCGCGGCGGCACCTGGGAGACGCCGGGGTGCCTGGATGAGGACAAGAGGGCCGTCGTCGCTCTCTTGTGCAACGTGACCCTCGCTGCAGCCGGCGATAAGGGGGGGGAGGAAGGGGAGGAAGGGGGAGGAAAGGGGAGGGAGGAGGTTTAGCCAAGGAGGAGAAGGTTGCTATGGCTTTGTCGAGTCTTCGTTCTCCTCTTCTTCTCTTTCTCCTTCTTCTTCTCTCCTCCTGTATCGTTCGTTTTCCTTTTTTTATGGTGGGGGAGGGGGTCTATTCTTTTTCCCTTTATGCTTATGTATTTTTTTCTCTCTTCTTCTTTCTCTTTCCCTTTCCCTTGCCTTTCTCCTTCCCTCCTCTTTTTTCACTCGTCTTTCCTTCTCCGTCTTCCTTTTTTCACTTTCTTCTTTCCTTCCTTCGTTTTCCTTTTCCTTCCTCTTAATCTTCGCAATCCCGTCCTCTTTCCCTCTTCTCCTTTCCTCCTCCTCCTCTTGCCTTTTGCTCTTCCCCTTTCCACGTCCTCTCTTCTCCTTCTCCTCCTTCTGATCCTTCCCCCTTCCATCCTCCTCAGCCTTCCTTCCCCTTACCCTTTCCAGGATTTCCGTCTCACTTCTCCCTTTCTACCCTTTCCGCTTTTCACCTTTCCTCCATGTCTACCCTTCTCCTTCCCTCCTTCCCTCTTCCCTCTTCCCTTCATTCCTACCCTTCCCTCCTCCCCCCCTCACTTTTTTTCTTGATACCTCCTTTCTCCTTCTCCTCCCCCTTTTCTCCTTCTCCCTCCCTTTCCAACATTCCTCTCCCCCCCTCCTCCATTTCCCCTCCTGTCTCCTCCTAGCAAAGGCGAGAAATTAATGAGGCGACTGTCGCTACCTGTCCGCCGCCATCAAGGTCAGGGTGTCGCCACTCCGTTTTTGGTGGAGAGGGGAGGCGAGGGATGAGGAGAGGGTGAGGGGAGGGAGAGGGAGAGGGAGAGGGAGAGGGAGAGGGGGGGATGAGGGGGGGTGAGGTGAGGGTGAGGGTGAGAGGTGAGGGTGAG